TTTTACTTTTAAACAAGTGAAAAACTGAGCCTTTTCTTTCCTGATATATTTGATATGCACGCAGTGGACACCGAGCATCAACGGCATCAAAAGTGATTCAGTGGAATTCAATAAAAAGGTCCATAAAACTATAATAAAAAAAATAAAGCAAGTGGTATTAAAATAAATTATATTTATAAATAAAACCTACAACCTAAGGCAGAATCTCATTGGCAGAATATTCCCTTTGGTGCACTAAGTGGACAAATGTATTTTCAGCCACAGAACAAAATGTAAAAGAATATATAATAAAACCAAGATAAAAGTATTTCTAACATCCTATTAAGTTGGAATAGGTTTTTCTACGGGTATACTTTTCTGAGAATTAAAATGAATTTATAGCTATTGCTGAGGTGCATCTCTACTTCCCTCCCTTTTATGAATTTATGATGCAGTATACCACTATAACAGATGTAAAAGATAATCAAACAGAATATCAGACGACCCTTTGTGGGTTCGTACCGTGGTGGTTGGGATATGGTACTAAAATTTAAATGGTTTCCAAATATCTGTCCACTGTAATGGACATCATGCATGAATTAAGCACTTTTCAAGGTACCTAAATAATAAATTTCCAGACTCTGGAAGCCTTGATCGTCACATCTAAATTGTTAATATAAATGCAATTGTAAAACAATAAAGTTTCCACAGTAATCAACATAACGTTTATTGTCACTTTGTCTATTTTACCAGCTGTTCATCTGCACGTTGACTGCATGTTTTGATCATGATTATTCCGAGGATGACGAGTGAACAAGAATAGATTTTGTTAAAGATGAAGTATTTACCTTGAAAACATAACTGCTAAAATTTCAAGACTTTGTACAAACCTTGTCCAAAACAGCGGTCTAAATAACTTGCTCACAGTGATCAAGTCGTCTGGTTACAGTCTTCATTTCTTGCAAGCTCTCATGTTCTTCAGCTCTCTTCTAAATTATCTGTACAAGGTTCTGGCTCAGTGAGTTATTTTGCCCTCCTGTTCCCGCTCTGCTGGCGTTTTGGGGATGTTTACAGCACATAAATATCGTCCCCCGAAGCAAAGTGAGTAAAATGTGTGACGCTTTCATCCGGACCCTTCAGACAGGGCTTAAAGCACAAGTTTGAAATCAGTAGATATCCAATCTGTCTGTTTTATTACTTTACATTCGCGTATAAAAATGCAAATTAGAAGGTCATCTGCATGAGAAACAAAGAAAATCACCAGTAATAATAATCAAAAACTCAAGCGATCAATTTGTGTTTTTCCAGTTATCACACCTGAAGGTGCAGGAATATATTTACTAGAACTGCAACAATTAGTTGATTCAAATAAATGAAAATTACAAGTCAATTATTTTGATAATCGATTAATTGTTTAAGTCATATTTCAAGCAACATCTGCTGATTACGCCTTCTTAACAGTAGATTTTGCTGCTTTTATTTGTTATTTATGACAGTAAATGAAGAGTTTGGGGTGTTTGGACTGTTGGTTGGACAAAAGAAGCAATTTGAAGACGTCACTCTGGGAAATTGTGACATTTTATAGATAATCTTACAAATACTTTGCCTATGAATCGATTATGGAAGTAATCGTATAGTTGGAGAAAATTAAAGTCTCGCCTTCTAGTTGACGGCTGGTCAGAGGACAAAATGGCAGCTGTGAGCAGCTACACCCGCTTTATCTCATCAGCACAGCACCGCTTTGTACTGTGTGCTTTCAAACCCCAGCAGCGTTACCGCCTCGCTCTTGTGTTCTGTGGGGGGGAGACAGCAGGAAGTTTTAAGACTCACATCAAACTTGCCAAGGTTGGGTTTCTGTTTTCCAGCCAGGATCTTCAGAGCTGTGGACTTGCCGATACCGTTGGTCCCCACCAGCCCCAGCACCTCACCGGGCCTGGGGATAGGCAACCTGCGCACACACACAAACAAATAAATGATTACACCACAATGACACTATAAACATCATCACATGTGAACTGCCGTTAAGGTCTCAGTATGCTTCTAACAAACAAGGCTGTACAAAGTAAGTAGTAACAGTCCTGTATTTAAAATCCTACTTTAGCAAAAGTACTTGTTAATATTGATGCATCAATGTTTGAGCAGCATTTTACTGCTGGAGCTGCTTTATATTAGAGCTGGGCGATGTCTACAGAACCGGCCTCGGACGATGTGAAACATCAGGATGGACGATGTCATAAACCAGACGGCATGCAGCGCACCTGCTGCTGTGGCAACGGCTGATGGAAAAAAAAAAAAGACGAGAAAAACATACTGCTGATGGAGAAAGTTAGAGAAGCAGACAGTGAGAGCAGCGGGTCCAGCCGGCGTATTTGTAGTGAGAGTTCTCACTTTCTTCCAGCTGTACTCAACATTATAAAAAAAAAAAAAAAAATCAATAAACAAAGCGTGCTCCAAGGATCAGAGTATGTTCAGGCTCGAGTGCCACATGAAAACAGCGTGGAGGAGTTAAAGCAGCGTACCGATGCAGTTTGAAGGAGTTGGCGCAGTATCTGTGTGTGGTTTCCTTCTCCAGGTTGCTGGGCAGGTTGACGATCGACAAGGCTCCGAACGGACATTTCTATAACGGCAAGACAAGACAAAGCATCAGAACACTCAGACCTCAACAAAAAAAACAGCTGCTGTGGTTCTGTAAAAACATTTTGTGATCACAGTTACTAATAATTTCCTATTTGTCTTTACTCAAGGACAAATCTGTTCTTGATTATAAAATTCAAGGATTACTGACTGTTGCACAGCACAGATAATTTATATTTTCTTAACAAAATATGGTTTGAAATCTTCAGGTGTAAATACCTTGATGCAGATGCCGCAGCCTATACACAGAGACTCTGAGATCCAGACAATCTTACTCTGTGGAGTCACCTCGATACACAGCTTACCTGCAAACACACACATTTAAACACAAGTTAGTTTTTGGTGTCTACCCTCTGTCTGGATATGAGAACCAACTAAATGATCCCTCACCCATGCGGACAACTGGGCAGCTCTTCTTGCACTCCTGGCGGCATTTCTTAGGTTTGCATTTGTCATGGTTGACGATGGCAATCCTGGTGTTTTTATCCGCCATGATGGAGGGCTGGAATGACGGACGCTAGCACCTGTGGAGCTGAACGAAAGCGGGGACACGTTGATGAAATTTGGAGGTGTAAAGAAGTTCAAAGAGAAACTTATTTGAGAGTGAAGCTGTTTTCAACCGACACACACATACACATTAAATTCACTTGTTTGGAAACATGTATGCACAGGTATTTACTGATATTCAGGTACCAAAGCCACGTTAGATATCTAAATGTTGGGGATAGTGGTCAGGCTCGAACCTGTGTCCACAGGCACACTGCTCAGTCTGCTGAAGCAACACATTCAATTCTAACAAAAATGCACAGCCTTTGCCTCTAACAAAGGGCTGCCAGGGATCTGCTATCACAGCCCGAAACCAGCTTCTACCTGTTTTCGACTGGAACCAAAATGAATGCGTTCTGGCTTTAATGCAGGTTCTGGATTAATGGATTTTCATTTCAGGCCCCAGGAGGACGAATTGACGTAAATGAAGCTGCTGCAAAACCACACCAGTTAGGGCATCGCGAGTCACACCAGACTCCATGAAAAAGTCTGGCCTTTTATCGTTGCCTTACCACAGAACGTGTTATATGCCTGGTACAACGTGAGTTAAGCCCTTTAACTATTCAGTGGTATCCGGCCTTTTCAACGCGACATACAGCTAGCACATGAAGTAAAACATATGAATAAAAATTAAGATTTTATATTCGGTTAGTCTGTTATACTCCTTACTAACTAACGTTACAGCCCAACACCGACACGCAACGGGCGGTGGCGAGCAGCACCAATAATGGATTTGTCCTCAAATAACCTGCTGATCTGTGAGTTATTCATATGCCGAATTCATCAACCAATCGTGGAAAATGACAAGACATCTTCAATCGTGCCCTTGTATTGGTACGCTTGTGTTACTGAGCATGAAACCCTTTAATTGGCAAATAATTGTATTAAATTTGGAGTATAATCATTTGGGTAACGTTCTAGGAGAAAACATAATATTTTCGCCAGCAACAACAGCTGTGTTTAAAACTACACTGTCGAGCTATCGACCAACTCTACTCGTGTACACATATGAATACCTCGTCGATTTAAAACAGCAACACTGGAAACTATAACGCAGCTACCGTTACGTACTAACTGTTAGCCAACGTTAGCTTTAAATTAGCATCACTTTAGCGGCGCAGGCCCCGCACTTTGACAGCTGCTCGGTGGGGAACAGCTCTCGTTTTTGTGGCAATACAACCATAAAAGAGGCACAAAATCCGGAGCGGTAAGTTATAAACTCACCCCTCTTCGGCTCCTGTTCCCCTGCTTTGACGAAAATACACGCGTTGCTACGTTTAGACACAAATAATTGGGAGTGAAACTTATTTTTTTTCCAGCAACGTGTTCTTCTCCTGGACGCCGGCTGGAAAGATGGCGGGAGAGACGCACACAGCATGCGACGGCGTTGATGTGACGTCAGTAAGAAGCGACCTGGATTCACAAAAGTGGGAGATTCGAAGTGGCTGCGGCAAAACAAAGCGGATTTAAACATTATTTGTGTCTAAAAGCGTCACCTAAAGCACTGACACAAACATTTGGCAACTTTTACTAACCGTGTATGTGTAAGTTTTACTTATATTTCTATCGTAAACTAAGTTTTGGAGGCTTTGAGACAGTCTACAGTAGAGAAATATTAACTTAGCTGCTAGCAGCTAGCTGGAGCGCCCCAATGCAACGTTTGTTTACCTGTTTATTTGCACTGTATGCATTTCAGAAAATAATGAACGACTTATGGAAACGTTATGGTCAGATTTTATATTAAATTGAAAAGATTAATATGTTTGACATTCACACATGAGTTTACTTGAGTTATCACACCAATTAAAGCAACGATGACATTAGCCACCAATTTGGCACTTACTAAGTAACTGTTAGCTGAATGAGATGATACTGGAATTGTCACTTATATGCCGAATTTCTCCTAAGGAGATATGAATTCACATAAGTGCTTAAATCAGATTATGTCATTAATTTACATCTTTAAAAATAAAAGCCAAATTAAAAATGTTAGAAATTTGAAGGAAGTTTGGCGTTACATTTTTGACTTATGAGAAAAGGAACAAATAGTGTTTACTGTTTACTTGTGTCTCTTTCTTTCTCCATGGTTAAAGGATGGCCACCCCGAGCAAGACACCACCCGGCGCAGACCCGAAGCAGCTGGAGCGGACCGGGACGGTCCGGGAGATCGGCTCCCAGGCTGTGTGGTCCCTATCCTCCTGTAAACCAGGTTAGCCCCAAACTTTATGTACTGTCTGCCGTGTGTATAGAGAGGGACTAATCTAGTCTGGTGTAATTTGAACTCCGTTTCTCCACCCATGTTCAGGTTTCGGAGTGGATCAGCTGAGGGACGACAACCTGGAGACCTACTGGCAGTCAGACGGATCCCAACCTCACTTAGTCAACATACAGTTCAGGTAACATGGAGTTGTGTTCCTTCAGTACTGGGATTTCTGGGATATTTGCTGTACTCTCTTAGACACTTAGGACGGATTTTTAGGCCAACAGGTTAGGTTTCTTGTTTCTGGGGGGAAGAATCCAGTTAGCATGTATTTTTTTTCGTTTGTAACTGGGTGTCTGTGTTTATTGTCACTGTTGTTTGTATCTGTTTTGTTCAGGAGGAGAACGACAGTGAAGATGCTGTGTATTTACGCTGACTATAAGTCAGATGAGAGCTACACACCCAGTAAGATCTCAGTCAGAGTGGGCAACAACTTCCACAACTTACAGGAAATCAGGGTAACAGCTCTTTATAATATTGTTGTCTGTCCTCTCCTAAATGTTCAGCCTGAATTTTATTACAGACTTTCACACTCAAATGATCTACTTTCTTCTCACCGTGCTCTTCCTCGTCTTCCTCTCTGCAGCAGTTGGAGATGGTGGAGCCCAGTGGATGGATTCACATCTCTCTGATGAATCAGGTAAGAAACTAATGTCTTTTTTTCACTTTTGAAACAGTGAAGCTTTTAGTGGTCAAAAACTCTACAGAGAAGCTTTTCAAAGTGTGTGTCTCCATGATTCAAGACCTTTTTATGTATGATTCTTTATTATATTTTGTTATCTACTACATTCTTTACAGTTTCAGTGGATAAGTGTAAGAGTTTGTGTTTGGTGACATTATTCTTTATGGTTTTTAATTTGAACATTGAAAGACTTTTTTGGTACTGACTAAAATGTGTCTGTGGCACAGAGAGTATCGAGCTGTCAAGTACGAGTGCAGAAAGTTGAAAAGGTGTTCTTGCCAGTACTGAACTTGAATTGTATCGGTCCTAGAATAAAATAAATAAAAATCATACCTGCCCTGTTTTACAATGAACAGTGTGTGTGTGTGTGTGTGTGTGTGTTTAAGCGGACAAACGAACCGATCAGCACCTTCATGATCCAGATCGCAGTGCTGGCCAACCACCAGAACGGCAGAGACACGCACATGCGGCAGATCAAAGTCTACACGCCTGTGGAGGAGAGCTCCGTTGGAAAGTTCCCACGATGCACCACGGTGGACTTCATGATGTACCGCACAATCAGGTGACCGCCTGACCATCAGTGTGCCCCTGGAAAGTTTGGGAATCATGTAAGATGTCCAGCAAAGAGCGAAAATGGCACAGACTGAAATATGGAGCTGCTGCTCATATAAACATCAGATTCTGACATGATGGGGATTGATTGATTCCAGAATTGATTAATCTCGAACTGCATATCATTAAGGTTTTTTTAAATGTGACTTCTTTTTAAAAAAAATAAAGTACTAATATTTAAAGGTAAGCTGCCAATATTAAAGATAACCACATTTAATACTGAAAATGGGGCAGTATTTATATGTTGTGATGTTTGAAGACTTAGAGAACAAACTCCTACTTTGACACGTTTCCACACGCAGGCTGATCTGGCCAGTAAACAATGAATGATTTGATTATTTTCACCAGGACAGGAGTCAGAGTTCATAAAGACGCCAGAATGTAGATATTTGGTGTCAGTTCAGAGTTTTTAAACTGTTTTGTTCAGTATCAGAATCTCAAAACTGCTGTGCCTACAGACTGCCCCCTGTGGTGGTTTTTGTTTTAACTTAACGTTGAATTAAATGTCTTTCAAAGCAACATGGCTGCCAGAACGTGACCGTATCGATGAATGAAAAACAAAAAACAAAGTTTACAGAGCTGCAGGGAATGTCACAAGAAACAATATAGACAAAACACAAGTAAAGAGAAAAAAACCCACTGAATTAAAGTTTAGATACTCTGATATATGAAACTGGCAATAGTGACAAAGTGAAATAAGTTAAACTATTAGCTAAACAACTGTTACCAAAATGAAAAAAGGAAGCCTGAAAGGAGTCTTTTAAGCATCACAGGACAGGTTCCAGACTATTCCAGGGGTCCTGGAGTTGCACAGACTTCTTGGGGTCACATACATACAGAGGTTCTTGTAGAGAAACTTCCAAGGCTGGATGATGATGCTCCAGGTGTTTCCATGATGATTCAGGGTTTTCCAGGTGATAGGACGTAAGTTGCAACAAACCTCCATGAGCAGTGTTCGAGGATTCCCAGGGCTCCTCAAGGTAAGCTCTTCGGGTTACTCCACTAGACAGATGCTCAGGGACTTCCAGGGTCCTTTTAGGATGACTTATCCAGGTAAGCTTCAGTTTACATTCACAGTAATCATCATGACAAACAGGCGTCAGGATCAGGGGATTTATAATCTCTACATTCACCATATTATTCAAAGACACTAAATAGTGATATGATATTTACAAACACACAAGCTACAATAACGTCTGTTAAAGCGCAGGAGACTAAAGGAGCACGTTGAGCACTGGACACTGAACTTGGACTGAAGCCTCAGACCGGTGCAGTTCAGCAGTTTGACCACCAGAGGGAGCCACAGATTGAGAGCTCTCTTCACTGATGCAGTATACTGTAAATAGGGGTGGAGGGATTACTCACATATTTTACTGAAGTAAAAGTAGCAATACCAGAGAGAACAAATAAGTTAGTAAAGTACAAAAGTATCAGCATTAAAATGTATTTAGAGTACAAAAAGTTCTCAGTATGTATTTTAGAATATCTTTTCTAATATATGTATTTCTTTTCCATAACCTGTAAAACATGTAAAGCACATCACATCAAGCTGATGTACACCTGGCTGACTCTTGTAGTTCAACAATAAGCATTTTATAAGAACCAATTAACATTAATAAGACGTTAAAGATGAATGAACGAAGGCCACATTCAGGTGGTGGAAGAACCGAGATCATCTACTTAAAGTTTAGATAAATCATGAGGATTAGTCGAATGATATATTTTTCTTCCAATCAACAAATCCCATGAAAATGAATGAAGCCAATCGATTTCCTAAATTGCAGACACACAAACCAACTCAACCGTGTAATAATGGATCGATTGTAATCTATCGTTTCTGAAGACAAGATAATCACTCTCTCAGAGGGAAATGATGCCAGTAATCCCTCTATTTCGTCTCGTTTCTCTGGTTGTGCACTACTGAGCACTTCAGACTCCATTTAACAGACTCAGAGGATAAATGAGTGACATTCAGTTGTTATCAAACTGCATGAATTACAAAGCAAATTTAAACCAATTTGTAATTAATGGATTGAATTGAAGTGGTTCACTGCAGAATATCTATTTGGTTGTTATGACCAGATGCATTGATCATTGACTAAGCTTCATGTCCTTAGCTACTTTAACGATTGTCAATCCTCTTCTCTCGGGGTACACATGATGTTTACTCTGAGGAATGAAGCAGACTTATAAGTCCCTGCAGAGGAGCATATGGAAGCTTTTTAGCTGTAAATTCACCCTCACATCCAGAGACCAGAGGTAGACTCCATTGTTAGAAAGCAGAGTTTAAAAGGACCTCAGAAAAAAGTCACTTACAAGATCGTCTTTACTTCATGTAAGTCATCTGATAAACAAACTGCTCAAAAATAATAATAAAGGGAACACCTTTGTTTTTGCAGAAAACAAAAATAGTGATTTCAAAAGGATTACAAAATGCCTGTAAAAAGAAATATACACTTTATAGAGAATTTATTAAACACTGAACTATAGAAGAAGAAAATAAAAATGAGAAATACACTGCTCAAAAAAATAAAGACATCTTAGATCTGAATGAATGAAATAATCTACTCCTTTCTTTACATAGTTGAATGTGCTGACAACAAAATCACACAAAAATGATCAATGTAAATCAAACCCATGGAGGTCTGGATTTGGACTCACTCAAAATCAAAGTGGAAAACCACACTACAGGCCGAGACTTTGATGTAATGTCCTTAAAACAAGTCAAAATGAGGCTCAGTATTGTGTGTGTGGCCTCCACGTGCCTGTATGATCTCCCTACAACACCTGGGCATGGTCTCCTGAGGGATCTCCTCCCAGACCTGGACTAAAGCATCCGCCAACTCCTGGACAGTCTGTGGTGCAACGTGGCGTTGGTGGATGATGCGAGACATGATGTCCCAGATGTGCTCAATTGGATTCAGGTCTGGGGAACGGGCGGGCCAGTCCATAGCATCAATGCCTTCCTCTTGCAGGAACTGCTGACACACTCCAGCCACATGAGGTCTAGCATTGTGTTGCATTAGGAGGAACCCAGGGCCAACCGCACCAGCATATGGTCTCACAAGGGGTCTGAGGATCTCATCTCGGTACCTAATGGCAGTCAGGCTACCTGACGAGCACACGGAGGGCTGAGTGGCCCCCCAAAGAAATGCCACCCCACACCATTACTGACCCACAGCCAAACCGGTCATGCTGAAAGATGTTTCAGGCAGCAGAACATTCTCCACGGCGTCTCCAGACTCTGTCACGTCTGTCACATGTGCTCATTGTGAACCTGCTTTCATCTGTGAAGAGCACAGGGCAAATTTGCCAATCTTGGTGTTCTCTGGCAAATACCAAATGTGTTGGACTGTAAGCACAACCCCCACCTGTGGACGTCGGGCCCTCATACCAGCCTCATGGAGTCTGTTTCTGACCGTTTGAGCAGACACATGCACATTTGTGGCCTGCTGGAGGTCATTCTGCAGGGCTCTGGCAGTGCTGCTCCTGCTCCTCCTTGCACAAAGGCGGAGGTAGCGGTCCTGCTGCTGGGTTGTTGCCCTCCTACGGCCTCCTCCACGTCTCCTGATGTACTGGCCTGTCTCCTGGCAGCGCCTCCATGCTCTGGACACTACGCTGACAGACACAGCAAACCTTCTTGCCACAGCTCACATTGATGTGCCATCCTGGATGAACTACCTGAGCCACTTGTGAGGGTTGTAGACTCCGTCTCATGCTGCCACTAGAGTGAAAGCACCGCCGGCATTCAAAAGTGACCAAAACATTAGCCAGGAAGCATAGGAGCTGAGAAGTGGTCTGTGGTCACCACCTGCAGAGCCACTCCTTTATTAGGGGTGTCTTGCTTATTGCCTATAATTTCCACCATGTGAAATTGATTGTCAGTCAGTGTTGCTTCCTAAGTGGACAGTTTGATTTCACAAGAGTGTGATTGACTTGGAGTTACATTGTGTTTAAGTGATCCCTTTATCTTTTTGAGCAGTGTATTGTCGGGTCGAAAATAAGGACTGGCCAGGCCAGTGGAAGACCTGGTCCTTACCCTAACCAATGTAATAAACTCAATAAAATTACTCTATTAGATCTCTTCTTTGGTCAAAAACTGCGTGGTCAAAAACTTCACTGGAGACGGTCAAGAGTCGGTGCAAAAGAGCTGCCATCTAGTGGCCTTTTTCCTCATAGTGTTTTACCAAATTAACCCTTTCATTAATGTTACAATTTCCACTTTTTAGCTATTATTACATGTAATTATTGTTACCATTTATCTTTCTTTATATTTTTGACATTACTGGATTAGAAATTCACCAATATGTTTCAACTTCAGTCTCACCGTATTTTTTTAAAAAGTTATACAGCCATAGTTTGACACCATTAAAACTCAAACACTTACAATTGTATTTTTTAAAAGAATTAATAAGGAATAACATTTAATACATGCATAACATGATTCAATGAATAAATACGTGATTCAACAATGCCAACCATGAGAGTGCTGTGTCTCATACAAGTTTAGTTTCGGCAGTGCAAAGCTTGGTTTCATGCAGTACCAGGCGCCATAAATCACAATGTGTCATGATCTCCTTCTTGGCCTCAGTTCGCCATGATCTCAGGCCTGGCGTGCGTGACTTACAGCAGGTGCCTTGCTTCCATTGTGTAGGTTACGGTTGGCTAGGTTTTGCCTGCGCGGCCTGAGCAGCTGTTCTGCTCATGTTGGCACATTGAAAAGGCACATGTTCATAAACACACAGAGTATAAGAATAAAATATGAGTTGGTACAAACTCATTAAACACTCAGTAGTTAAACTTTACACTAAAAGAATAACAGCAGCGGTCAACACCTTTACCCTGTGAGACCACAGTCATTCTTCCAGTGGCTACACTACAAACACTTCCAAGTAATTATAACATATTGTAAACCAACAAAGTGTATAAATATGGAAAAAGGACCAATCAACCAATCTAAGAAATATTCAACAGTATATGTACATACATGACATGATGCTGACACACAGATAGAAAACAGACAAACATGTAGGTAAGTGGACAGGCAAAGAGAGATAGATGAAGGGAGGTAAATGTGTAGATGAGGTAGATAGGAGAAACACAGATACACCGACAAACATGTAATAGACTTCACTTTTATTTGTTTGTCCATTTAGAATTGACATGAGACAATTAGACACATGACATGAATCCATTACATTTTGTTTATAGCCAGGTGGTGATGTT